CCCCAAGTGAAGGACTCTGCACTTGGCCTAAGGTAAAGGTAAAGATGGCACAAGGAAAACACTGCAGTCCTGCCTTCCTGAATGCACAGAAACCGTTTTCTCTCCGTCTGCCTTTCATCCTGTGAGCTCTCCACCAGAGGCAGGTGTTAACGTTGTCTTCCTCCGGTCACGGCAAGGAGCTGCGGCTCCTCCTGTGCATCACCCAGTACAGCTATTAATTGCTTGATGTAAGTTAATGGGTCAATCCATCTGCCAGACATCCTCTTCTCACCTCTACTATTCACCCACTTGTCACTTGTGCAGACTCACAAATATGGACATAAGGAAGTGAAGCTGAGAATTCCTGACACCGTAACGTCATTCCCACACCGCGCTTTGCCTTTTACTGGACACTCCCACCCACAGCACTTTGTCTCCGGTTGTGAGTTACCTTTGTCGCCACGTGGATATTGGATCCTTTCTCCAAAAGCAAGGTCACCATGTCAGTGTGACCTTCTTGGGAGGCCAGATGAAGCGGGGTGACTCCCTGTTTGGTCAAAATGTTGGTCTCGGCGCCATAGTTCAGCAGAGTAGTAGCGATCTGCATCTGATTTTTCTTGGCAGCGATATGCAGAGGGGTGTATCCATTCTAACACCAGGCAGGGAACAAAATGAGAATAAAGTTAATGCAACAGCCAAGTATGTCAAAGTAGTCCGACACCATAAACCAGTAGTAGTTTCTGCTACCCCTTGTGCTAGAGATGAGAGTTTATCAAATTTTCCAGCCCAGACATGCCCCACATGGCCCTGCTGTCGTGTTGCTCTGTTGGTCTGTTCTTCTCGCCATCGAAACTGGAACAAAACCAGCCCTCACTGGGGTGAGCAGGACTGTTCCGCTCACACCTTCCAACTACCCCAAGTTTGACAGCTGCATTTTGAACAACCTTGGTTGTAAACATTCACTTTTGATGGACAAGTGGCATTCTCTGTGATGAGTGACGGGTGCACCCTTCTCATTGCATCACGCTTTTTCGGAGCGTGTGGGGAGAGGTGTGTTTGCACACGGAATTTTGGTACACGTGTCAGTCGTGGCACTGGCTGGAAAAAGTAACGGAGGAGAATGATTTTCTGATCAAATTAACCATTTAAGCAAAGCAGAACGCCATCGGTGGTGTTTTCCCGCAACGAGACAACTTCCCACCTGTAATTGCTTTACAATGTGCAGCAAGGGAAAATTCTGGGTTACAGCAGATGACCCCTCTGGAAGTGTTTATCTGGTGAGTGTTTTAAAAGGGAGCTTTACCAAACCATCCTCCTGCAACCACGGCTTTTGCTGCTCTCCATGCACAGAGGGAAACAACAGCTCTGACACAATCCCTTAACAGCCGAGCTGCGTTTTCTGGCAGCGCGTACGACAGCAGCCTCGCACGTGCCACAAAACTTTGGCAAAATAATCAAGGTTTAATCAAGTAGAAAAGTTAGAAAGAAGACTGAAAAGTAAAATGTGTAAGTTAGGATTGTTAAGTTTAATGAGTAACTTTAGAGACCTCACTAGGAAATTACTGGATCTTTCTGTGTGTTGTTTTAAACCACAGAACCAGGGACACCTCATCACCCAGCTACTACATTTTTCTCTGTTTTGTTTTAAGAAGTTAAGGAGACCATCACAGACATCAGTCATGCTGCTTGGAAACCCCCTTGCCCCTTCCCATCTTGATTTGAATATCAAGGATTCTCATCATTAAAATAGGTAGAGTTAACCAATGATTGTTATAGGGTAGGAATATTAATGAAGTGATGTAATCAATGAAACCAATCACTTTAAAGGTCAAAATTAAGAGCAAGAATAATACGCAATTTTATGTAAAAGAACTGACGTAACAACGACTCAACAAAATAAGTGTGTATAAAAATCTGTGGATTTTGATGCCAGGGTGGACACGCTTGGATGGAGCTATCCCCGTCCAAGT